CATTAAACATAGTAATGACTACTCTTGGGGTCTTTCGGTAAAGTCACGTAAATAGAAAAAAAAATCACCACGTTTCGATCGCAACACAAGCAATCGTCTTCAGGTGAAAAAATACAGCAGGAGAACTGCTGAGGAAGGATAAATATAGCGGGAGAGCTAGTGCAGCAAGAGATTATGACTGCAAAATTACCACTTAGCCACTGAATGAGGGATCGTAATATAGTTAACCGGAACGAAGTTTTGCACACACAGAGGTCCTGTTCAGAATAAATGTATAGGTGCCAAAGTCCAAATCACCTGGAATGTGCCTGATATCATCAGATTTCAAAAGCTAAGCTGGAATTATTAAAAGGTTGTGGCGCTTGGATGGGTGACCACCGTTCCAAAAACAGGTTGTCATAGGGCTTACAGGGATGCGTTGTGGATAGCAGAGGGCAGTGCGCCAAAATCGACTGTTGAATCGTACTTGATGCTCCCACTTTTGCCAACCCGGCACTGCCCAGCTAAGTGAGATGTGGTCAAAATAGCCCGTACGACCCAGCAGTGCAGTTGACCGAAAGGGCTGTAACCACGCACATGACAGAAATCACGAATGCAGTAAACGTGAAACGTAGAGCACAATGCTCCCCACACAAGCAGACCAGGACGTAACTGCGCTGCAGTAGCACATGGTGAAGAGAGCACATGACGTTAAACAAAGCCGCGTGGAGACAAACTGTGCTGGCGTGATATCAGATCAATAGTGTCTTTGACGCCCTGTACAACCCCCAAAAATAACATCATGAGAACATGATCATGAAAAACAAACCCACTGGGAAATGCTGATAGGGCCCCACACAGCACTGGGAATTATACAATTGGGCAGACGTCTTCATGTTGAGAATGCTGTTTAGGGCTTGCCACCTGTTTGACTAGACCCTGACAGCCAGGGAGAATTGATTCCGTGTTTGGGTGGCAGAAATTGATTTGTACCGACATCTGGTAATATTGTCTTGAAAATGTTTACGGTAAACTGAACCAAGTCTTTATAGACTCAGGCTGACTGAGACATTTGTCCAGGGTTTGGTCAGTGAAGAAGTTAGCAGCCCTACCTATGGTATCTGATTAAGGTCATGCGCAGTGTTTGATTGGCTAGTTGATTGGGGGTAGTGTTTAGATTCATTAGCTGGTATGCTTAAGGCTAGTGTTCAGCTTACTAGTTATTTAGTCAGGGACGGCTCCATACCGTAAGGGGAGGTTTCTTGCTTGTAAGATTGGCAGTTCATCAGCATTGATCCGAGCAAGTCTGATTGCTGATGAGACACTGCGTGTTCAAACCTGTCTTGAATCACTACTGAAAGTATGCACTGCCAGAAGACAGTGCTGTCAATGGATATCTGTAAGAAGAACTTGTATTATGTTTTTCTTCTTATGTGGCGAGGCGGATATGTGAAGGAGACATTGTCAGATGAGAGGTGACCTGTATGTACAGAGGCGGGCCGTCAGGGCCAGCAAGGCCTTCTCTGCTTGCCTAGAGATTGTCAGAATCAGAAAATTATGTTTTTATAATTTAATATATATTTTCATTAATGCTATATGTATTTTACAAAGTTTGTTCCCATCAGTTTATTAACGTCATTTAATTGCTACTCTCTCCCTCAGTGACCCTGCTTCCAGTGCAGCTCATAAAATAGAGCTTTTATCCAATCAGATTTTCCACCTGTGCTGTCTCCACCTTTCCGGGTGAAAAATCTACCTTGAGGCCTTCAGAATGTCGAGTGAATCCCCTCTGCTGTTGAAGCAAATGGGGACGATGTTGTTGATTGTCATATTCTTTAACCAATCAGATTTCGAGTTTGCCATGTTGGGCGTGTTCTTTGACACGCCAGAGCCTTCTAGCTGGCCTCGCTGCCTACGTCAGCATTTTTCGTGTGGCGTGATCGGAGTGCCAGTTAGCGAACTGAAGTAAAACTAGTTAGCGCGTAACGTAGCATCATCTAAGATTTATTTAAACTTTCTTTCGTGATGTTTATATTTTTAGACGTAGTGCTTTAGATTTTTTTGTTTAGACTTTTACTTAGCCCTGTTGTTTTTTTAACGCACAATGGCTGAAGGAGAAGAAATGGATTTGGTGGCGGCTTTACTGGCAAAGCCTTTTTTGAGAAGGACCTTTCAAGAAAAGCCGGGCCCGTTACTAGCTATTTATTATTATTGCTTGTTCTTTGGTTCTTTCGGTAAAGTCACGTAGAATGAGAATAAAATAATAAATTGATAAAATAAAATAACACAATAATATTCTCACGACGTTTTGGCCACAACACAAGCGGCCTTCATCAGGTGAAGGGGACGAGACTGTCTGGAGGACAGCGCTGGAGTGAGAAAGCCACGCTGAGATCACGACCTTTAAGCTATGTGAGAAGAAACAAAGCGCATTGACAAAGGAATTAGCATATAATTTAGCATTGAAATGGCTGAGTGATTAGCTTGTGACTGGTCACAGAAAAGGCTATGTTAAAGTTAAAGCATACACATCCGCAAAGGCACCCCTTGACAAAGGAATTAGCATAGAATTTAGCATTGAAATAGCTAAGTTAAAGTATACACATCTGCAGAGGCACTCCTTGACAAAGGAATTAGCATAGAATTTAGCATTGAAATAGCTGAGTGATTAGCTTGTAACTGGTCACAGAAATAGCTATGTTAAAGTCAGAGCATATACATTCACCGAGGCAACTAGTACAAATCAAACTGGAGAATTTAGCATTGAAATAACTAGGCGAATTTAGCATTGAAATAACTGAGTGATTAGCTTGTGACTGGTCACAGAAATGGCTTTGTTGAAGTTAAGGCCTACACATCTGAGCTATTCACAGTAACTGGGTATACAATACAATATATAATGAATACTATATAGTGAACCAATAAAAATACTAAAATATAAATTACCTCAATATTATCAATAAACTCTATATTCTCCAATCAGCTAAGCTACCAACAATAAGTCGTTATATATCACAATGCTATATGGCGAAAAATGGGTGGATTCTTACTCTCAACTTTAGCAACACGGATAGCTACGGGCCCCGTTCAGACGGACGAGTTCATCCATGGGCGGAACAGAGGAGGGGGAGAGAGACAGCTGCGAGGCGCTATTATACTCCATGTTGTAAACCATACCATTAACCGTGGTGTGAGAGGTATTAGAGTCAATGCCAGCGAAAGAGCTGCGGTCTGAAGGTAATCGTAAAATACAATTAATTAAGAACGGAAATGGTTTAAAACATCTTTCCAATGGTTACTAAGCCAGAATCCATCTTCTCGATTGAAATTGTCTCTGTGCTTGTATATGTGAATGGCCTCATGAACGAATCTCTCATGGTAGCCGGTTGGTTTGCAAAGAACCTCCGTCTTGGAGAAGTCAATGTCATGTGAGCCCACTGAATTATAACAGTGATCTTTGGTAATGACATTGATTTGGGCTATGCAATGTGTATTTGTGATGCAGTATCCTGTCATACTGCGTAATAATGGTACATCCTTGATGGTTTCAGTCACCATGTATTCATGCCTTTGCAATTAGTGTATTGTAATTCTCATAGGTGTCGGGCCTCGTGTTAAAATCACTTTATTCCACTCGATAAAGGTTACTGTCACTGTGAATATGGGGTGGTTATGTCGAATGACAATAGCCTATAGCCATAGTGTCATGGTGAGGTTATTCGAAGGCGGTTTAATTGCGGGAGGATAGCACTGAAGGCCTAGGTGTAAAATTCACGGCCTGCCACTGTTTATGTATGGTATTGACAGTGCCCCTCGAGAGTCCAGTCGCACAAAGCACCTGAAGTGGACGTTGCCTCCCCTGAGTTTATCATTCACAACGGCAGGGAACATACAGCTGTTAGGTGTGTCGGGTTTCGTGAAATCATCCGCAGGCGATACCGGAGATGGTGGCTCGTGACTAACAACATATACCAGAGCAGAGGGTTTACAGCACCGCTAGACCCAGCACTGCCTCTGTAAACTGTTAACCAGAGTGGCCCGGTAGGATCCAACACGTTTGAGGCGACATTTCCTTTAGTTTGTTATTCAAGCCAGCACAAGACCTGATATTGGGGGTGGGGGGGGAAACATTTGGGGTGATTTAATTTACTCGAAAGTAAATCCAATCCATCTCGGTGGAACACTCAAGATTGTTTTGCTACCAGTGCCACCCAGTGGCTGTTTGGAAAACTAAAAAAATATATTTGCAGTTACGTACATACGTTCAGCACAGTTGGCTCACGTTCGGTTTCGAAAGAAGTTCTAAATACGTATGTAGTGAGTCCAACTGAGTCGCAGAAGTTGTCTTGGGAGCAACACTATTTATTACATCAAGTACACTCGGGTGTTGAATGCCCATCTAACCACGCTACGGCAGAACTAGAGACGGTCCCGCTATCCCGGTCCGGACCACAAGCTGGGTCCCGGACTGCGTGACTAGAGGCTTCTTTTACCCGACGTGGATCTTCATCACCAGCAACACGAAGAACCCCGAGCCCCTCACGGGGCCCCCGTTATATCGGCCTGGGCTGGTGCTGGCTCCAAAGAAGATGAATCCTTGCAGTCACGAAAGCTTTAAATCGAATTTTTGTTTTGTTTTGTTTGTACCAGCTGTGTACATTGCAGCAGTTTTTCATTTGAAGCTGATTCGACATAGGGGAGGCTCAGGACCAGTTCAGATAATCGTCACCGGTGTAGGCCGTGAGTTGAAATCGAACTCGGGTCGCCGGGTTCGTGGTGCAGCACACCAGTGACACACACACACACACACATCAACTTACACACACACATATATGGACTTAAACACACAGACATCGACTCACACACACATCGACCTACACACACACACGTATCGACTTACACACACAGCGACTTACACGCACACATGGACTCACACACATACATCGACTCAGACACACACACATGGACTTACACACACATACACATCGACTCACACACACATCGACTTACACAGACAATTGTGAAGATCACACATTTATTTATTGCTCTTTATTTATTCTGGAAAACCTCACCGAGTCTTCTCAGAAGTGTCCAGCATGAGTATTTTGGGAAATACCTACTACGGGTGTATAGCTTCATTGGGAAAAAGCCTGAGTACCTGGAGAATATCCACCACACATACAAGGGGTCAAAATTTACAATGAATATCAATGAAAGCTCTACTCTATGTGTTAGCACTAAGACGTGTTCATCCTTCAGTCACATATCTTGTAGCAACACTCCCGGGCTCAAGCAGGTACCCAACGTTGGGTCAACATTGGCATGTGTATATGTTGACCTTCTTTCGCACCGTACATAGCCAACCGTGTTGACCTCCAATGAGGTTGGACCCACTGGACCAATGTTGGCCCGACGTTGATCCAACGCTGGCCCAATGATCCATGTTTACTGGGTTAAAGATTAAAGGTGATCAGGCTATCTCTGCATCCTGAGTGTCGTCTTGGGGGTTCGGCGGCAGGCGGAGTATCAGCGGGCGCGGGTTGAGGTGCGTGCCGAAGGAGAAGCAGTTCCCGCCGCCTCCCACAATGAAGATGTGCCTCTCATGGTCCTTTCCGTCACCACCACCACCACAGCCGCCACCGCTATCCCACCGCTCCACAGCGCTGTGTCCGTGCAGCAGCACGGGGCCCTCCACGCCGCACTGCAGTGGCAGGGATGGCATTTTAACGGGTGCCGCCCCCGAAAAGAAACGGAAGAAGCTTAGTGTTTGTCATAAAAAAAGTTATTTTTAGCCAATTTTATTTTAAACGGTGATTTCATCACCATGTGAAAGAACGCCCTGCAGAAACAGATATCACAGAACTACCATTGAGATCCCTAGATTTGACCTCGTGCCATGCTATAGCGGTGCAACACCCACACACCTGTTGTACACCCTGCCAAAAGAGTTAATCACATTTTAACACCAAGGTTTTGGTGTTAAAATCCAGCGGTGGATAGATCAAGGATAATTGATGCTGATTTTGTGCCCAAAGTCTCAAATCGAAGTGCCTCTCCTCTTGAACGAGAAATGGAATGACGCGTATCTTTGATGATAGCTCTGAGCCAGCAATAGACATTTCAAATTGGCACTGCATCATTCTCCCCACAGGGTTAATGCTCTAACTATTTATTATTACTAGCAGGAAGTACCCGGCATTGCCCGGGCGAAACTTAACACATACATACATAAAAAATACAAGAAAGTGTAATGTATGTAAAAAGTATTTGCGTATCAATTTTACGTGTTTAGGAGAATACAACTAGTGCAACACATTTTATTTGTTTTGTTAGTCCCTGCTGGCGATGTTTACTACACATCACAGCAGTTTCTCATTTGAAGCTGATTCGACGTACAGTGAGGGAAACAAGTATTTGATCCCCTGCTGATTTTGTACTTTTGCCCACTGACAAAGATATGATCAGTCTATAATTTTAATGGTAGGTTTATTTGAACAGTGAGAGACAGAATAACAACAACAAAATCCAGAAAAACACACGTCAAAAATGTTATAAATTGATTTGCATTTTAATGAGGGAAATAAGTATTTGACCCCCTCTCAATCAGAAGGATTTCTGGCTCTCAGGTGTCTTTTATACAGGTAACGAGCTGAGTTTAGGAACACACTCTTAAAGGGAGTGCTCCTAATCTCAGCTTGTTACCTGTATAAAAGACACCTGTCCACAGAAGCAATCAATCAATCAGATTCCAAACTCTCCACCATGGCCAAGACCAAAGAGCTCTCCAAGGATGTCAGGGACAAGATTGTAGACCTACACAAGGCTGGAATGGGCTACAAGACCATTGCCAAGCAGCTTGGTGAGAAGGTAACAACAGTTGGTGCGATTATTCGCAAATGGAAGAAAAACAAAATAACTGTCAATCTCCCTCGGCCTGGGGCTCCATGCAAGATCTCACCTCGTGGCGTTGCAATGATCATGAGAACGGTGAGGAATCAGCCCAGAACTAAACTGGAGGATCTTGTCAATGATCTCAAGGCAGCTGGGATCAAAATCACCAAGAAAACAATTGGTAACACACTATGCCGTGAAGGACTGAAATCGTGCAGCGCCCGCAAGGTCCCCCTGCTCAAGAAAGCACATATACATGCCCGTCTGAAGTTTGCCAATGAACATCTGAATGATTCAGAGGACAACTGGGTGCAAGTGTTGTGGTTAGATGAGACCAAAATGGAGCTCTTTGGCATCAACTCAACTCGCCGTGTTTGGAGGAGGAGGAATGCTGCCTATGACCCCAAGAACACCATCCCCACCGTCAAACATGGAGGTGGAAACATTATGCTTTGGGGGTGTTTTTCTGCTAAGGGGACAGGACAACTTCACCGCATCAAAGCGACGATGGACGGGGCCATGTACCGTCAAATCTTGGGTGAGAACCTCCTTCCTTCAGCCAGGGCATTGAAAATGGGTCGTGGATGGGTATTCCAGCATGACAATGACCCAAAACACAGGGCCAAGGCAACAAAGGAGTGGCTCAAAAAGAAGCACATTAAGGTCCTGGAGTGGCCTAGCCAGTCTCCAGACCTTAATCCCATAGAAAATCTGTGGAGGGAATTGAAGGTTCGAGTTGCCAAATGTCAGCCTCGAAACCTCAATGACTTGGAGAAGATCTGCAAAGTGGAGTGGGACAAAATCCCTCCTGAGATGTGTGCAAACCTGGTGGCCAACTACAAGAAACGTCTGACCTCTGGGATTGCCAACAAGGGTTTTGCCACCAAGTACTAAGTCATGTTTTGCAGATGGGCCAATGCATACCGATTGTGGTGGTTCCTGCTATCACTACAGCAGTGCATACCGACTGTGGTGGTTCCTGCTATCACTGCAGCAGTGCATACCGACTTTGGTGGTACCTGCTATCACTACAGCAGTGCATACCGACTGTGGTGGTGCCTGCTATCACTACAGCAGTGCATACCGACTGTGGTGGTACCTGGTTTCACTACAGCAGTGCCTACCGACTGTGGTGGCACCTACTATCACTACAGGAGTGCATACTGACTGTGGTGATACCTGCTTTAACTACAGCAGTGCATACCAACTGTGATGGGATCTGCTTTCACTACAGCAGTGCATATCGACTGTAGTAGTACCTGCTATGATTACAGCAGTGCATACTGACTGTGGTGATACCTGCTTTAACTACAGCAGTGCATACCAACTGTGATGGGATCTGCTTTCACTACAGCAGTGCATATCGACTGTGGTGGCACCTACTATCACTACAGGAGTGCATACTGACTGTGGTGATACCTGCTTTAACTACAGCAGTGCATACCAACTGTGATGGGATCTGCTTTCACTACAGCAGTGCATATCGACTGTAGTAGTACCTACTATGATTACAGCAGTGCATACTGACTGTGGTGGTACCCGCTATGATTACAGCAGTGCATACTGTGGTGGTACCTGCTTTCACTACAGCAGTGCACACTAACTGTTGTGGTGGCTGCTATGATTACAGCAGTGCATACTGACTGTGGTGGTACCTGCTATCATCACTATCATCACAGTAGTACATGCTGACTCTATAGCAGTATACAGTATATCGACTCTATAGCACAAAGTACTCACCTGACAGAGTGGCGTGGTGAGGCCTAGTCCTGTGCAGAGCCCCCGGCCTTACCTAGATTGCCCAGCCGGCCGAGGTGGCACCTTGGCAGGATGAGGCTGGGCCGCTATCTACCCACCATCCCCCCGCCCGTGCTACAATAATGCTATCTAAGCGCTATAATATTAGGATCTACCGACCCTATGCACACATTGGGGGGGGGGGGGGGGGGGTGTATTTTTTTTGCATTTTGAACGCGTATGAGAAATCCCCCCCCCCTCCACCGATGACGCGTGTGTGTTGCCCGGGGCAACCCTCGGGCAGCTTTATCTGCGCGAGGAAATAATTAAATAATGGGGAATATAACTACATTGTTAAGTTAACTACATTAAAGTTGACGGATGGGTAAACGGAATAGCGCTGGCTCGCCACAGGGTTTACGGCGTGGTACCCGGCATCGTTTAAAAAACGTAAACCCCACGGTTAGCGAGCCAAATCCTTCGCAAGTTGCGTGCACACAGACACACAGACAGACGGACAGATGGACAGACAGACCTAGAATGCCTTTTATAGGTAAGATATGAAAACATGAACATGAAAATTACAAACATTTTAAGACAGGTTAGTTTGATGAAAAACCTACATGTTATTTGGCGATGCTGCATTGCCAGTGATGGCAAAAAGCACAAATAACAAAAAAACTCAACACGTTCATCAATAACACTGTGGCCTTTAAAGGAAAAATACGTAAAAGGTGATGTTTTAGGCACTGGTCCTTCTTCAGAGGATGTAAATAAAGAGGGCAGAAGGATTCATTCTTATTCACTGTTATCTTGCTGGCCTCTCTATGCGTGTGCCATAGAGAGACCAGCGGCATCTGCAGAGGCGTAACGTGTTAGGCATGGGTCCTGGCGCGAGGAAGGAAATGGGTCACCCTCAGTGATTTCCCTTCTCTTTGTAGCCTGGCACTTGGGCCCACCACCCCTCACCCCCCACCCCCAGCTGGTAACATCACCCTCTGTCAGACTCTGCCCGACCGTGAAACGCAACGCCTTTGTGTTTGCCTTGTCCTGAAAGAATGACGACACAACCAAATGTTTGAATTATTATTTAATTATATTATTGGCTCTTTTTACGTGACTTTCCCGAAAGAACCAAGAATATGAATCCCTGCAGTCACGAAAGCTTGTTCGCACAGAAAAGCCTCACCGAGTCTCATTACTCTTTTTCAGGAGGGTCCTGATAAATGTTGGCAGCGGGACGGGATGACTGCCATGTGAAATCCCATTTCGAGTAATTTGCGGAGAATATTTCAAATTTGGCCCATGCAATGAGTCTCACATTGCGAGTGACGTCACGGGGATCTTTAATGTCTACTGTGAAAGCAGGGGCTGTGTATCTTCGCGGTGAATGCACCCAAAGGAATTCAACTATTTATTAAAATATAGCGGGAAGTACCCGGCGTTGCCCAGGCGAAAAAGACACACACACACACATCGACTTACAACAACCGCCATTTGACACTAAGTGGCGGTGACGTTACCACGACGCTCACCACGACGCTTGTGCCAGGCCATGTGCACCTTGAGGCTTACACACATACAACAACAACCGCCATTCGCCACTAAGTGGCGGTGACATCACCACGACGCTTGTGCCAGGCTATGTGCACCCTGAGGCCACGTGAAGTGTCGAACGCCCGCTGGCAGGAGGTCACGGGGCAGACCCAGGTGCCACGAGTCGACTGAGATGACTGGCTGATGCACCACCTGTGCCCCCTACTGTGCCAACCTGCTGTGCTTTAGCCACCCGGCGCTCCGCTCGTTGTTGTGAGCGTCGCTCCTCCGCCCTCCGTTGTTGTTGGAGGGCAACTACCTCCAACTGCCCAGTAGCGTCCTTCACGAGCCTCCTCCACAGAGGCCGATCTTGACACCGCTGGTACCAGTCATCGGCAAGTCCACTCAGCTCCACGTCCTCCTGTACCACATCACTCCATCTCTTCTCTAGCCCGTGCCGCGCCCGCTTAGCCCCCTCAATCCGGCTGAACAAAAGCTGTTTCGGCATGCGGTCGCTGGGCATGCGGGCTACATGAC